TACATTAACTACTCATCATCATCATCATCATCATCATTGTCATCATTATTATTATTAGCTGATTGGTTGTGAATGGCTTATTCGATATATACCTTAATAGCAGCATGGGCTGAATTGCTAAGGTTTACAATGTTATTAAGGTTGAGATCGGACATCAGCATTATCAGGCGCCTCTGCCAGCTACTTCAGTCCATGTAACGACCTCACCTTTCTCCCCACACATCCCACCCCAGTGGAGGACATCCATCACACAGTAATCTCGTGCGTGGGAAATTAACATTTCCAACCTCTAACCCTGCAGGAGATGGGGCCCACAGTTTATTCGTCCATATCCAAGAAGACTTGAATATCTATCCATTTCTTGATATTATAGAAAGGTAGCAAATTCTCCTCTGGTATTTTAAGGCCATGAGTATTGATCCAGCTGGGGCTCCAACCCGCACAACACAATCCGGCGCTCTTAAAGCAATTGAACAAACCAGGAGGCAGTAACAACAAAGATGATGATGATGTCTATAACAAAATCCTCAAACCTGATTGATTCTGAAAAGCGATTATTTCATCCTGAATCTGAATACTGTAATAAGCAAACTGTCCAATTTGGCCTGTGTGATAATCATTACAGCTGCTTGTAATTGGACAGGTCAAATCTGACAGTAATATGCAGCTAATGAAAATCCAGTGGAAAATGGCACTAGCCAATGAAATTGAATTACTTATTCCTACCTTGTGTCTCACATTTTAGCAAAGAAAGGGTATGATGGGACATGTGGAAATGGTCACTAAGACTTGCTGTCATACATTTCAGGGGTAATCAGGCTCGTTACTTCCCCAATTACTTCCTAAATTGTACTCCACTCAGTGCTATTATCATTACCAATCAATGTTGTTTCTCTTTCTTTTGCACTGTAGGTGAAGCAATAAAGAAACCAGGTAGCAGGGTGCCGTATCTACGTGGGGGTTTTACTGTAGAAAATCTCCCAGATGGCATTTTCTTTAAGAAACCCTTCCATTATGGCACTAAGCAACTCCAGGCCATAATGGAGAAAAAAGCAAAATTAAATTTGTGATTACCGATAATGCAGATATAAACTTGCAAAGCATCAGGAATGTTATTCCCTCTCTAACTCAGCCTGAAACAGTAGTCACTCTTCTGTCCAGGATAGTGGACAGACAATGTGCAGAAAGGGTAGTTCGACTGTCTGACAATATTAAAGAACAAGATGTGGAGGTTGTGGAGTGAAAATAGCTGTTGCTTAAATAGCGCTATCTACTGCGAGGATCGTGCACCATATGTATCTAATACCGCAGTTCAAAATATATGAACTTCATATATTTCATTGTATCTGATTTATCACTTTCACGGGTTTATTACGAGTCAACTTAACGGCCTGCTCCCAGTTGGCTTGTTAGCTCAATTGGTAGAGCGCTGCACTAGTATCGCAGAGGTCAGTGGTTCGAATCCCGTACAGGCCTGATTTTTTTCAGGTCTGATTTTCGCTATTGCTTAAATAGCGCTATCTACTGCGAGGATCGTGCACCATATGTATCTAATACCGCAGTTCAAAATATATGAACTTCATATATTTCATTGTATCTGATTTATCACTTTCACGGGTTTATTACGAATCAACTTAACGGCCTGCTCCCAGTTGGCTTGTTAGCTCAATTGGTAGAGTGCTGCACTAGTATCGCAGAGGTCAGTGGTTCGAATCCCGTACAGGCCTGATTTTTTTCAGGTCTGATTTTCGCTATTGCTTAAATAGCGCTATCTACTGCGAGGATCGTGCACCATATGTATCTAATACCGCAGTTCAAAATATATGAACTTCATATATTTCATTGTATCTGATTTATCACTTTCACGGGTTTATTACGAATCAACTTAACGGCCTGCTCCCAGTTGGCTTGTTAGCTCAATTGGTAGAGCGCTGCACTAGTATCGCAGAGGTCAGTGGTTCGAATCCCGTACAGGCCTGATTTTTTTCAGGTCTGATTTTCGCTATTGCTTAAATAGCGCTATCTACTGCGAGGATCGTGCACCATATGTATCTAATACCGCAGTTCAAAATATATGAACTTCATATATTTCATTGTATCTGATTTATCACTTTCACGGGTTTATTACGAATCAACTTAACGGCCTGCTCCCAGTTGGCTTGTTAGCTCAATTGGTAGAGCGCTGCACTAGTATCGCAGAGGTCAGTGGTTCGAATCCCGTACAGGCCCGATTTTTTTCAGGTCTGATTTTCGCTATTGCATAAATAGCGCT